CTGATGACCCGGACAGCTTTGAGGGCCCGTCCCGCCCACCACGGACCCGCCCGGGGCTCCTACCTGAGGCGTGCCGGGCGCTGCTGGGCTCCGCGTCCCTCCTGATCCGGGGTTCGCTGGGGGTTCGGGCTCACACCGGGGGCTCCGGGACCCCCGGATCCGGTTCGGGGTCACACTGGGCGCTCCAGGACCCCCCGGATCCGATTCAGGGTCACACTGGGCGCTCCGGGACCCCCCGGATCCGATTCAGGGTCACACCGAGACCCCCGGCTCCGGTTCGGGGTCGCTCCGAGGGCCCCGGGGCTCCTGAGGGCGGGGGCAGGTGAGCAGCGCCCCCTTGCGGAGCGCACCTGGCAGGTGTCATCCCAAACCCTGTCCCAGCCAGAGGGGCTCCCGGGCAGGTGTTATCCCTGTCCCAGCCAAACTCTGACTCCCGAGCAGGTGTTATCCCTGTCCCAGCCAAACTCTGACTCCCGGACAGGTGTTATCCCTGTCCCAGCCAAACTCTGACTCCCGAGCAGGTGTTATCCCTGTCCCAGCCAAACTCTGGGGTTCCCGGGCAGGTGTTATCCCTGTCCCAGCCAAACTCTGACTCCCGGGCAGGTGTTATCCCTGTCCCAGCCAAACTCTGACTCCCGGGCAGGTGTTATCCCTGTCCCAGCCAAACTCTGACTCCCATACAGGTGTTATCTCTGTCCCACCCAAACTCCGGGGCTCTCAGGCAGGTGTTATCCCCACAGCTCTGCTCTCCACCACGGACATGCTCTGCACCAGTCGTGCAGAGGTGTACACCAACATCCTTAAATGGGATTACAAGCATTGAAAGAATATAAACATGAGCCTGGAAGTTTCCAGGATGCCACATGCTGCATCCCAGGACAGGGGGACAGATGCTCCTCTCTGCTCGATTTACTCCAAGAGCTGTTCAGGGGAAATGGGGAAATCCAGGCCAAGGGCAAGCCTGGCATCATACTGTAACAATATTGTAATGGCCTGACACTGAAGTTATTACCTGGCTTTAATAGTGCAGCACCAGCATTTTGCAAGAAACCTGAATGTACATGGTTTTTCTCCCCTCAATCACCGGCATCTCTCTGAGAGAAAAGAACCTGGCTCTCAAACACTCGTTTTATTTTTCAGGAATGAAAAATCCCAAACCTTTCACCCCCACACGTAAGGAGAACTTCATGCTGCACCATGAGCAGACACCCAAGTGGGTTGTCTGAAGGTGGTTACAAAAGGTCACTCTGCAGTGCTCAGCAATCTTCCAACAGCGTGGGGGATGCATATTTTCTTGGAATAATCCTCTCTTTATTACCCCATAAAACTGGCAGAAACTTCTGCTTTGTATACAGCAAGTCAGCCCGACAATATTGACGCCAGCCTAGAAAGTTATTTTGGTTTGCTCTGCCAAATCAGATCTCAAAAACCAGGTAAAGCTAAACCAGATTGTAGTGTTTACATTTTATCTCTAACATTTTAATTGGAAACATTTGATTTCCAGCGTTGTGAGACACCCAAAGAGCTGTTTGGGCCAGTGGGACCTTTCAGAACTGTTTCCCTCTGTGCCTGGTAAATGAAGTGAGTTGTAAAAACACAGCCCTGGTCACTGTGGAGTCACAGCTGGATCCGTCTGGGTGGGCTCAGTGAGGAATTGAAGGTGAGACCCTGAGGTGTGTGCTCAGGGTGGGCTCTGGGTGCAGCCAGCCCCTGGCAGGGAGGGAGGGAGGGGGATGTCCCCACTGCAGGGACTCCTTGAGGTGCTGCTCAGGTGCTCACAGGACACAGCAGCTATGCAGAAATCGGGAATCCCCAGGGTTTAACCCCTCTGTTTCAGGATATCTGATGAGACTGGATCGCCCCTGTGCCCTGAGTTCATTCACAGGTGAAGAAACCCAGGGTTAAGACACTTCCCAAACAGAATGTCACACTTCAGTGCTCCTGGTGACTGCTGGAATGCCCAGGAATGGCCATGGCTGCACTATGAGCACTTTTAAATTTAAAACATCTATTTGTGTTTCCATTCCTAAAGCTCAACAGACAGTGCCCACAGCTGGAGATGGAATGTCTGACTGATGTGCCTTCCTCACGTTCTCAAAATGATAGCAATTGTGTGAGCAGGAGTCAAAAAAATAGTTTCGTTCTCTATTTAACCCCATCAAGGGTCATTAAGAATTTTTTCACATTCCCTTAAACTTACATCTTGCTGGGATCTTCCAGTCACGCCTCTCACAATCAATTCTCTGCTTTAACTGGGGATTGCATTATTAATGATTTCATCTCCTCAGAAATGCAGTTCTGCAGTAGAAAAATCTTCATGCTCAAAAGCCCAAAGCTGTCAGTGAAAATGCAGTGATCTGATGTTCAGCTGTGATTTAAATGGCAAAGTCACTGAAAATTCACATGGCTTATTATTGAGTAGGGGGGTGTAATTGTCTCCAATTATAATTAAGAAGGCAAACCCCCCAGTAGAAGACACTGAGGGCCCCTGGTGAGTCTGAGATCCAGACACACTCAGCTGTACAACCCTCCCAGCTCTGAATTATCCTGACGTTTTCTTTTTGAAGGACATACAAAGTTTCTGTTTCATAACAATAGACTCCAGGAGATTTTCCCCATAATAAGCTAAAAATATTTGCCCAGAGCCTATGAGAAATTAACCCTTGCCTGTTTCTAGCAAGCTTGAAGTTCCTTAGCTGGTAGTAGCTATTTTAAAAGTTTGCTGTTCAGCAAGCAGGTAGGTGTCTGACAGGAATCCAAAAACACTCCCTCAATTGCAAATAATCTGAGAACAGGGAAATTGGTTTGGTGAGTCCTCCCAAAGGATAAAAAGTGTGCACGACATTTACATTGTTGATAATAAAATTAACTCATTTTATACGTATTATTGTCATGAGAAACGCAAACTGAATTTCCATGTTCTTCTCCTCAACATCACTGTAGGTTCTTCTGACCTGTAAGACACAGAAAAATCCATTTAAAAGGGTGGCAGTGCCAAGTAGGGCACGGGGGGCTGGTGTGTGACACTGCCACCTCTGCAGGGTGCTGTGGGTGACACTGCTGTCACTGCAGGGTGCTGTGGGTGACACCATCACCCCAGGGCTGTGGGTGACACTGCCATCACTTACCCCAGGGCTGTGGGTGACACTGCCATCCCTTCCTGCCTCAGGAGAAGACAATGTAGACCATGAGGGCACAGCCCACGAGCCAGCCGAGCGCCAGCAGCACCGGGACAAGCAGGCGGGCCAGCGGGGCCTGGGCTGGCACAGAAAGCTGTGTCAGTGACATGGACAGGGAGCTGCTGAAGGAATGGCACCAGAGCCACACCGGGGTGTCCCAGGGTGGCTGAGCCACGGCTCAGGCTGCTCCGCAGGCTCAGGGGAGCCCAGGGCAGGCCCAGGTTCTCTGTGGAGCACACGGGAAGCAGGACTGGCCTCACATCAATACATCTCCACAAAACATCAGAATTTTAAAGACCCTTCTATCAGTTTCCTACAAACAGCACACTCTTGCCAGAAAGCAGAGTAACAGCCTTTGAGATCCTGTTATTACCAATATATTACAACCTCTTACAGCCCCTCTTTACACAGTTAATAGAATTACAGGTTTTTGAAGGGATTAATAAATTATGTAAAACTATTCACAACACCTTGCACAGTTTAGATCAAGCAGGCAGACTCGGAGGGATGCTTAATAATTTAAGGATTGCCACATTGTTCTTCTAAAGCTCTGCACAGCAAAGCTGTCTCACCATGACACTGCATGGTGTGTCTGCCATGAAAATATCAAACACATGAGCAACCCCACAGCACAAAAATCCTGCCCTGAACCTGGGTGTCCTTTAGCCCAGGGAGTCCCTGAGCTGTTCCACTGCTCTGGGGCCCAAAGGCAGGGCTGGATCCTGCTGGGGGCACACAGGGGTTTGTCCCAGCTCTGCTGGAGCTACTGACTGCCAGCCTTTCTTATGGGAGCTCAGGTTAAAGCAGTAGCAGGGTAATTTCTGGGGCTACCGGTCCAATGAAAACTCAAATAAATAGTGTTCAGTGTCCTTGTGTGCCTTAGCAGAAACTCACCCTCCCTAGATACCAGTGGTGCATTAAAAACCAGGAGATAAGGCTTTAGAAACTTTGAATGTAGCTATGAAGATGTATTAAAAAGTCCCCTTTATAAGTGTTACCTGAGTAACTGTGCACACAGCACACACCACAGCTACAGCTGTAAATTTAAGTGAATAAAAATTTACAATAGATATAAAATGCATTTTTATAAACTGCATTTTCTCCTTGGAGAGAGTGAAGTGTGCTTACAATGGAAAGGTCATTATTAAAATTTCATTTTGCTCTGCCACTTGAGCTTTGTGGGGTTAAAATCTAAATTATTCTGTGTTCACTTGGCACTACACTTGGAGCTCAGCTACACACAGTGTACCAAAAATGCTGTCAAACATAACTCATTTTACACACTGTCCTATTGTGTCAGCTAACTTGGAATGACAACTACAAAAAATAAAGAAAACAAAAAAGGGTAGGATTCAAAAACACAGGATAAACCCAAGCTGTTAATAGAATTAGCTTTTAAAGTGATTACACTTTCTTGCTGAAAAGTAAAATATATACAGTGTATCAGACAAGAATACAGGTAGCTGAGTATATTCACACTGCATTGCTCAGATCTATTCATTTCAGTATATTATTACATTCACATTTAATTGTGCCTCTTACCTGGTTCTGCCATTCCCCCTCTGCTAGTTTAATGGCAGGTTAAGGTTTGCCTCTGCAGTTGCTCTGAGAGCCCTGGGATGCTTTAAATAGAGCAATATTTGGAATGTGCTGCAGCTGCCTGGCTCACTGGTGCCAGGGGTTGGCTATAAGCATTCAATTGTCTAAAAAGGCAGGAATTCAGGGGTTCAAGGTTACCTCTGCCTGTTCCTCCAACTGCAGCTCTGTTTCAGAGCAATCTGAAACACTGAAACCTCTAAGGAGGGGTCAGTTTATTGAAGAGGGAGGGAAACAAGGGTGGAAACTGCTTTAAGTCTCTTTATACCCATGAAGCCCCCCACGGTAAATGCAGATAACACTCATGACCCCCCTGTATTTCCAGTGTGACAGGGATCAGTGTGTTCTGAGCCCTCCACTCTTCTCTCATCCCTCTCCTGTCCAGGCCAGCCCTGTTCAGGATTCCTGTGCAGGTATCCCTGTAGTTATCAGCTCTCTGCTAAGCATCACCTGCTCCCAGAAGTTCAGTCCCAAGGAAGGGCTGCTTGCAGGGATCCCCGAGCAAGGGGCAGGAACGTGTCCAACATCACACCCACACCACAGCTGGGAGGAACAGCCCTCCCCAGGCATCCCCAGAGGAAGGGGATTTCATTACTGCTTCTCCAGAATGGGAGCAATCTTACAATAAAACTCAGGGCTATGGAACACTTTATTATGCCATGCACAGTTCAGCCTATCACAACATTTTGAGACACGGGAACAAACCATGAGCTTTACTTTCTTTGTCTGGCTTTGCTATAAAGCAAATCCTTTTGGGATAAGATCCAATTTGTTGTGAAAAGAAATATGACTCTGTGTAAAATACTTATTGGAAAAAAAAAAAAATCTCTGATACAATAACTTTGTTGGCTGCACAGCTGCTCCTGTAAGAATCCTATCTGGTTTGGTTCTGCTAATTATATCTATCCATCTGATCTCATGGAAATAATTTCCAACAGGAATCACATATTCCTGACAAGAGCATCTGACCTTGAGGGATTGGGATCCTTCCAGGCCCAGTTGCCACAAGCGAGGGCAGCGAGTCCCTGCTGCTCACACCACTCTGGGAAACTGCTCCCCTGTGAGTGCTGCCCTGCACGTCCACAGCTGCACCTGAAGGAGATCAAAGCTGCAACTGCAGCAAAGAACACAGTAACAATATAGACATTATTTTAAACAACACATCTTCTGTTGGGAACTGAGGAATGAACTGCAGCCATCAATTCTACAATAGACCTCAGTCCAACAGCCAAAAGAAGAAGCAGAGGGACAGTTTCAAAATATAAAAACAAGGAGAGCACAGAAGGCTTAAGAAAATACTCAGAATGGTCTGTGGCAAAATGAATCTACTGCTTTTCTGCTGAAGGACAATGCACAAGAACAACAATTCCCTCATTTCTATCTGTTCCCAATTACGTGATCTTGTTTTATGTTTTTCCCTCTCTGTTTGTGCTGGGACACTGAGATACTCAATTTCCAGAGTTACACTTGGATGGGCAGTTGGGCTCAGAAATGAGATTCCTTTTTAGCCTCCAGCTCACCGAGGTGCTCAGACAGATTGGTCTCAGGGCAACCTTTGGGTCTTTGTTCCCATTAACTGCTCAAAGCTGGCAATCACTTCAAATGTTTTAAATGTATACAGTGCTTTAAGGGAATTAGGGCCCAAATTAGGAGGAGGAACAGGGTAAGGCAGCAGGGCTGCAAGGCTTCCTGTGAGAGAAGCGCTTTTAAGGGGAGAAATCCTTTTAGTGCCTGGTGTTTGGGCAGGAACAGTCAGAACCTCACTGACCTCCCCCCACTTTGCAAAGCAAATGGGCCATTTTTAGTGTTAAAATAGCCAGTATGTTTAAAGCACATCCCAATCTTCATCACTACATCAGTAGCCAGAGATCACATACTGAAATGTCACATTTCTGTCTTTGTTACTGTACTTGGAACCTCTGGGAATCTGCACCCACATGCAGGAGGCTGGCAAAGAAACGCTTCATTTTACAAATTCTATATGATCCCTATAAATAACTGCAGCCTACACTGCTTTAGAGGAGATTACAAGGACAGACCAACTCATCTTCACAAAGGGAATGCTCCAAGTAATAAAATCTTTATAGCTTTGTGATACTGGTATTAATTTTTAAATCACATTTCTTTCAATTGGCCTTTTTCCTTTAAGAAAGAACCCTGATTTACTAGCGAATCAAAAGCCAAGTTTATATGCCTTGAATTATTTTATGATTTTCCCATACTCTCTTGTGACCTGCAGACTAACATATGAGAATATCAGATTATTGCATTCACAAAATAGGTTTATGTGTGGAAAATTTGTCTAATGAAATGCATTTTATTAGTCACACCAATCTTAGCATTTGAAAGCTCCCTTACAAATTGCTAGACATTACTTCTACTCACATTTACATCATGAAAGTAAAGGCCGCGTTATTTGATAACTGCGCGACCAAAGACCTGAAAAAATCCATGTATTAAGCTACTAAATTATTAATTCCATGTGCTGCTTCCTAGGGCTCTGGGTCTGCACATCATTTCTGCTGGCAGAGAGAAGCATCACTCAGCCAAATGCTGAGATACCTGCAAAACCCAGCTGCAGCTGTGGAACAGCACCACGGGGCAGAGATCTCCGTGAGCCGCTCCTGGGTCAGTCCCACGGCTGTCACAGAACAGCCACAGTAATGAGCTGGGTTTGCCCTTGTGCAGCTCCAGCTCCTGGCACCTGAGGGATGGCAGATTTCCCTGGAGCTGGCACATCATGGCCCCATCTCCCTGGCACCTCGTTCACCAGCAGCAGCTCCTGGGAGCGCTGGGGCCCTGCAGAGCTGGAGGTGAGAGCAGCACCAGGAGCCCTGGGCACAGCCCAGGGGTGGCAGCAGCTGAACACAGAGCCCAGTGTCTCCAAGCACAGATTATCAGAGCCAGAGCAGCTCTGGCTCCTTCCCCTGAGCCCCCCAGGACAGCTCAGGGCCAGTCACAGGACAGGTTCCAGCTTCTTCATATAAAGACTTCACCCACTGCTTCCCATCCTGTGATTGTTATTCTGCAAGGGAACCCAGGCAGAAATACCCAGGGTTTATGATTTGAGAAATGGCAGCTTTCTGGAGGATGTGAGCTGTGATTTATACACTAGTGCAACCTGTTGCTGTGGCTTTTACTGTCTACTTGGCATTTTCTTCAGAACTGAAAGGTGTTTAATGTATCTTGGATTTTGGTGGTTTTGTGCATTTGGATTTGCACTGAATCCTAACTCCTGGACCAAGTTAGAATTCCAGGCTTACCACGCTGCATTTTCCATCTGATTCTTCTGCTGTGACAGAAAAATGAAGTTAATAATTACTCCATTCTGTTCCCTTGTATGAGAAAAAACAACCTGCAATGCATTCTGTGTGCAGCAAAGAGTTTGAGGAAGACTCCCTGGTGCAGGCTTTTGACTTTGACTCAGGCCATGAGCCAGAGTCACCTCCAGCACAGTTCCATGGGGCTGGCACAAAGCTGGGAGGAGCCCCAGGACACCCCCAGGACAACCCCAGCCCCCAAACTGCCCTGCAGCAGCTGCAGCCCCCTGAGCACCACCCCTCACCTCCCGTGCCAGGCTCAGGGCAGGAGGGGGCTGAGGAGGGGAGGCAGCAGAGCTGGAGCCACCTGGGACACTCCAAGAAGGGTTTTAGCAGGGTGCTCTGGCTGATCCTGCACACAGGGGTGGGAACAGCTGGAGACTGGATCACATTTTTGGCTGCTCCTTTGTTCCAACTCCTGCAAAACAAGGGACTGAAGTGCTCAGCTGGGATGTGTGTCCCAGCTCTTGGTTCAGCCCCACATTTCCTGGTTGAAAACAACTGACCAGAGTGAAGATGCTGCATTCACAAACAACCACTGGCCTGTGTAATTTCAGCTCATGTGCTGGGCAAAGTCAGACATGGGCTGAAAACATCTTTATTTGATCTTCCTGTGTCCTCTGAAAGAACATTGGCTTGTGCCAGCAAGGAACACAATGGCAAAACACAAACTGGCTGAAGAAAAAGGCGTGTGCTCATTATCACGAATTGTGAAAGACTTTCTAAAATGTCATGTTTGTCTAAGGTTTATTTCTTGATTTGACCATTCCAGTGGACCATAAACACTGGGGAAAAAAATGGAGCAAGTTAATTTCAATGTCCTCTTTAGAGCAAAATGAAGGATTTCTTCAGAATCTTTTATTCTACATTTTCATAGAATCAGGGAATGGTTAATGGTGACCTTTAAGATCACCAAGTCCAACCATCAGCCCAGCACCACCACATATTAAAAAACTACAGCTCAGGTGGGTACAAGGAAGCCCTAAAGTCACCTTCCCCAGCAGACACTTGCAGATATCCTGCTCTCACCTGCTCACATGAGGACTCCCTACTCTTAAAAACTGGGAAAAGCAAGGTTGGGACAAAATTCAAGAGTAGAAGAAAAGCTCTGATAAATCCAAGCCATACCCAGGTGCAGGGAGCCCCCAGCATGTCCCAGCAGTTCCTGTGAGTGCCAGGGAGCTCCACACACTCCAGACTCACCCTGGGAATGCCAGCTGGATCCCTGGGATCTCAGTGCCAGACTGGTACCGCTTCAGGGGCTGCCTCACTTCCACTCATCTTGTAGACAACCGGCCAGGTCATCTTCTCTTCCATTTTCCAGGGGATTCTGGCATCAGCTTCTCTCATTCCGTACCCACATGGAGATGTTCCCTCCTTTAGCAGTGCATCTATCTGAAGGAGAACATGAGAGGGATCCTTGTCCTTGCTTTTCCTACAGCTCATTCCTTTTTAAATGAACCTCTGTGCTGGGAAAAAATGCACTTTTAAATTTACCATGGCAAATCAGTTAATTCAAAAAGGCTCTGCAAGCCTTGAAAAGCCATTAAGATACTAACAAGTTTTACCTGACCAGAAATAAAGTTCTCAAAAGCAATAAAAATGGACAATTTCATGCACAAATTAAAAGCCAATCTTATTTGTAAGCAAAGAGCAGTTTTAGCAACTCCAAAGTGGTGCTGCAGTTCCCTCTTGTGACAGCCAGAGCTAACTCCTGTTTGCAGGGAGCCAGGAGGCTCTGGCAGCAGAGCCACTGCAGCTCTGTGCAGGTGTGGGCTGGGGGTTCTAAACAAACTAAACCTGCTGGTTTTGAAACATCCCTCAGGAAAGATGTATTCACTGTTCTGGGGCTTTGGAAAAGGAGTTTCCCCACCCTGTGGTGCCTTTGCCCCTGCTCAGTTTAGTCCCACATGAATCCCACAGCAGTTGCAGAAATGAAGCACCTGAAGCCTCTGTGGTGCTGGCCAAGGATGCTCCAAGGTGACAGGGATGGGCAGGCTGGCTGCTGCTCAGATCCTCAGTAACCAGGAGCACTATTTACAGGCACAAACAGAGACTTTGCTGTTTCTTTCACGTGAACTCTCCCCACCCTTCTCATGTCTCTAGGTTCTTTCTGCATTTTGCCCCAAACTAAGCTCCCAGAATTGACTGGTTTTAGCTTTTGGAAGCCAGTTCTTGGTTTGGGTTGGGAGGGACCTCAAAGCCTATCTTGTTCCACCCCTGCCATGGGCAGGGTCCTGTTCCACAGACCAGGATGCTCCAAGCCCTGTCCAACCCTTTTAACACCTGCAGGAGTGTCACTGAGTCCTTTAACACCTGCAGGAGTGTCACTGAGTCCTTCAACACCTGCAGGAGTGTCACTGAGTCCTTCAACACCTGCAGGAGTGTCACTGAGTCCCTGCTCACAGATCCAGCTCAGTCCCAGCTCTATCCCAGTTCTATCCCAGCTCACAGACCCAGCTCATAGTCCCAGCTCTATCCCAGTTCTATCCCAGCTCACAGTCCCAGCAGGGCTCTCTGGCTCCTGGCACACTCTGGGCAGCCCTGACCTGTCACCCTGAGAATCAAGCCTTCTGATATTGTTTTTCAGAGTTTCTAGACACTTTCCCAGGAAGGTAACTATAAACATAGATGTTTACACATTCCATTAAAGATATGTCTTTTGATGGACCTTTTTACGACCAGGGTGGTTGGGAAGGTGGTAACCTGTCACTGTCAGACATGAAATGATTCACACGGACACAGCTTGAGGTGTGGTGAAAGAAGAAGGGTTTATTTGTTCTTTCAGAATTTACAGGTTTTCAGCAATGACCAGGGATTGGATAGTCAGGTTAACACCTTCCCAACCACACTGGCTGTGAGAGATATCCATCAACAGGCATATCTTTAATGGAATGTATAAACACCTATGTTTACAGTTACTTTCCTGGAAAAATGGCTAGAAATTCTGAAAACAATATGGAAAGGCCTGATTCTCAGGGTGACAGTAACCTAACTATCCAATCCCTGGTCATTGTTGAGAATCTGTGAATACTGAAACAACAGGATAAAGCTTTTTTCTTCCTCTACCCCACACGGAGCTGTGTCTGTGTGAATCGCTGTGTGTGTGACAGTGACACCAGCCTGTCCCCGGGCACTGTGGCACTGTGGCACAGCTCAGAGGGACTCACTGGGCTCCCAGCAGCTCCCACAGCTCCTCCAGGAGCTGAGCACTGGGAACCTCTCCTGGAATTGCTGCTGCTCCGGGCAGGGCTGGCTGCCAGCAGATGGCAATCCCTGCCCGCAGTGCCAGCAGCCAGGCCAGCACTGGCCCAGCCTTTGGGGAAAAATCCTCTGAACGCTCAACAAAATGAAAAACAATGAAGTATTTCTAGAATTAATTACACTACATAATGTTTACATAGAAGAAATATTATTTTGTCTTGGATTTTTGGATGCAAACCCCTCCTGCTGGGATGCAGAACCTACAGCTCTCAGTGAGGCAGCTCTCCCTGTTCCCTCAGCCACCTCAGTGATACCTCACAACCACCAGGAAATTATTTCAAATAACCACAACTTCAAATAACCACATCAGCACTGGGAAGGGAGCTCCTCCTGCAACAGCACTGCCCTGGAAAGCATTTCCATGATCCACATTTCTGTTACCCCACCTCTCCAACCCCTTCCCTTGCTTTTAGGGAAAAAGAACAATGCCTGAACTCACCTATCTCTCCTCAAATATCAGTGTGTTCTCCTCAAAAATTAAAAGAGGTCACAACTGAAATTTCCCCAAATTGGTATCATATTTTGAACAATAATGGATTTATAAAATCCTCTTTCAAAAGATAAAAGGCCAACAGTCCCTTGTCCAGGCCCTTCCCTGCACACAGACATTTACCACTTGAATTATGCCACTTTCAAGTTAATTGCTGCAAAAATGCAGAAAGTCTTAGCTCAGTAAAGGCTTTACTCAGAGTCAGTTTATTCTGGGTTCATTTAAATTAATCTGAAATAAGATATCTTTAAACCTCATCAAGAGCATGTTATCTTTTGTAAGGGCTTAAGAGCTTTACAATCATGCTGCCAGTGAAAGGACAGGCAGAAAAGCCTGAAGGCTGGGGAAAAAAGATCGTTTTGAAGATTTTTATAGGGGTATAATCTCTAAAAATAGTCTTTTGATAAGTTATCTTCAAGTTTGGATTTATAGCAAAATGGAGGAAAAGCACCCTCCTGGGGGTGTGATAACCTCTGCTGGATCATCTTAGCAGCAGATAGCAAGATCTCCATGTTTTCTAAATGCCTGTCAGAATTTTTCATGGATTTTTACCTGAGCACCAGCCTTTGCTGCTTCAGCAGGTGCTGCCATGGAGTTTTCTAGGCTACAAATATCCCCAGAAATACTGAAGTCAAAATATTCCATGTGTTACATGAACAGTTACCATCCTCATCAACCAGCAGCAGCTGTTTAGAATACACAAAAACCCCCAAAGAAGCACAAAAATCACTTGTCCACCCCAGAGAAACTGATGCTGCTGCTGATACAAATATATTCAGTGAATATTATTATTATTATCTGATACATTCCTTCATGCAAACTGAGGATTTAAAAGCCCAAGGCTTATTTCAGTATGAGGAATCACATAGGAAGGAAAGTAAAGCAACAGTTTAATCTCCAAATAGTTTGGGATTTTTCAAACATTCCCTAAGTGACTTTTTCCCCTTGGGAGTTATTTCTGAACAAGCAACATAAAGTTTAAATGCTGTCAAATGCCAAAGGATGTTTTCTTCTAAATGAATGCTAATTAAATTAGTAGCAAAGGTAGTTACATTGACCTGAAATTCTGGATGTTTTAAGGGACATTCAAATGGAAACAATTAATATTCAGGGACCAAGCTTGCAGGTCAGCGCAGGATTTGGTGCCATGGCTCTCTCTTAAAATAAGCTCATGTGAGTTAAAACTGATCCCAGAGAAGTTCAGTTAAAAACAGTGTCCTTCACAGAGCTGAAAGGAGCCTTAGGTCATCCCTTTGGTGACTGCTCCAGGAGTGAGGAGCTGTCACAAGGATGCCACCCTTGTCCTTCCAACAATTCCACACAGCAGGACTTGGGAAAGGACAGCAGGAACCTGGGCAAGAACAGCAGGAGCTGGAGGGACAGGCCAAGGGGGAATGGCTTCCACTGCCAGAGGCAGGGTTAGATGGGATATTGGGAGGGAATTGTTTCTTGGGGGAAGAGCAAGGGCAGCACAAACCTCAGCATTCAGATTTAGTGATATATGTCACAACCTCCAACGTGCCAATGCTCAGGGCAGTGACAGCATTAAAAAATCTACTGAAAGTGGAGTAAAACAGTCTTAAAAAGTCATTCTCTGGCCTTTGTCCTGTGCCTGACAAGTGTCCTCTGCCAGCCAGAGAGGGAGGTTTGTGACAGGGGCTCCTGCCAGAGCAGCCCCGTGCCCTCATGTGGAAACAATTCCCAGGCTCTGTGTTTGGGCAGCAGCAGCTGAGCAGGGCTGGTCCCTTCCCCATGGCCAGGGCACCTGGGGCCCATCTGGGGACTGATGTCTTGACAGCATGTCGAGTTCCAGCTTTGGTGATGTACACTCTATTTTTAGTCGATTTATTTTTAATTTGTTACTACACTTACTGCTGCAAGATCCCTGGGCTGCATTTCCCAGTGCAGTGCTCACCCTGTCCCACTGCACCTTGCCCCCCACTCACTCCAGAAGCATGAAGTTAGGCATAGATAATAAATAAATATATAAATAAATATATAATTAATATAAATAATTATAATAAATTATAAATTATATACTGGTGTACATAGAAGTCACTAAGATCACAGCTTTGGTCTCTTTGTGCTCTGCCCTAGGCTCTGACACTGGAATGATGACATTAAAAACTGCACAACTGAGATATTTCAAAGTATTACCCTCTAAAGTATTATCCTCCCCAAAGTAGTCAATATGCTTTAAAATGTCAATAAATTAATTTTCTCCTACTAAAAGTTTTGAATGGTTCTCTCCAGGTTGGTCAATGATACTGACAGAAGGAGCTGGTTTTGGAGCTCTTCACTGACTTTAATGAACATTACAGCAGAGTCTGGGCCTTAAACCACAACATTTCTATTTCTATTCCCTCTGACAAATGATTGATTTCCTTGCATTTCTGCCCATCCAGGTATATCCAGCAGGCTCCTCCCAACATTATCTCACCACAGCACAACACTCAGTCCCATCCCTACAATGACAGCTCCCAGACACAGGGAAGCCAATGATCCCATCACTTAAACAGCTTCATCTTTAAATGCTGCACCTGGAAATGCATTTTAAAATTTAGCATGAGATAATATT